TTTTTCTGATTGCAATGTTAATTTTTATATCGTTATGCGGACACAAATCTTAATTTAAATTTACGTGAATGAATGAATGAATGAAGTAATTTGATGCTTAAAGATCCTTAAAGAAACAAATTATTATATAAGATGAGAAAGAAATATTTAAAAACATTTTACAAATATTCGAACGTTGATCTGAGGAAAAAATAGGCAAAGAGTTGTTGGTTAAATCAAAAATATTTGATAAAACGCGCGGTTGTTTGACAAACAAACAGCTAAAGGAACGTGATCGCTAATACCTGTTGACGTGGTATGGAATTGAAATTTTTACTATTCCGCCAGCGTGATCTCTACGTGGTAGCGTTTGACGGTGGATAATGCGTTTCCATACGCAAAAGGAACTGCGAACGCTGTTTCGGGCGTGGATACGTGGTTTGGGGATCAAGACCGTGTCATTCGTCGGCACGGAACGAAGTTACACGTAAAAATTAGTATCTTTCGTTGCCGGAGAACGTGAGCGAATGGGATCGTGGATCGTGTACGAAATTTGCGTGGAAAAAAACTGGAACCGACGCTGTGCCACCTGCTATCCCGAAATGCTCGCTAATCATTATATCGATGAACTGAAATGGAGAATATACATACATATATTCGGGAAAGGGGAAAAAAGGGAGAGATATCGGACGGCGTACGAACCGTGGACTTTCAAACGTGATTCGCATCGGTTCGTTTATTTTTTGAAATGCAGCTAGATTCTCATGTCAAAAGGAAATTTGGCTGGGAATTTTTTTTTCTTTTTTCTTCATTCTTTCTGATTCCTGTTCGTAAATAAATATCTCTGTAAAGAAATTATATTAGAAGAGTCGATCACATTTTTCAGTAATTATTTACAAAAAAGAAAAAGCACATCCATAAAGAAGATATACCTCTTTTCGCGAAGCAGAAAGTCAGAAGAAGGACCGCAATGTTCCGATGACACAAGAAAATCGTGGAAAAGCAGCAGCAGCAGCAGCAGGGTTACCAAGACCGGTGCCGTTGTAAATTTCATCCGACCGATAAAATTTATTTGACCACGGGCCGCGGATCGGGCATTAATGAATTTCCCGATATTTTCAAGGACCGCGGGGTGCCCTATCGGCGAGACGCGAGCCCGGCTCTTTCAAAGCGGCTTTCTCCGCCACCCTTTCCAGTCCAGCGTCGCTCCTAGTATTTAAGAGGGCGTATATATCTTCCCAAGAACAGACCCCCTAACCCGTGGCCGGACGGTTCCAATTTATTTGCAACGGTGCCGCATCTTTCATCGGCCTTTTCGTATTTTCTCCAAACGATCTATGGACCTTCTATTTCTTCCTTTGCTTCTTTCTTGCGTCCAACTTTAATATATTTATACGGAGATGAAAATCGTAAATAGAAATCGTAAATTGTTCGTAATATTGGAAAGGATTTATCGAAGAATTTTTCTCTTTTTTTTTTTTTTTTTTTTTTTTTTTTGATAGACTCATGGAAATCGTGCCTCGAAATTATCGATCATCGAAGAATTTCCTTAGTAGCCACGTTCCACGATCCACGGAGAAACAAATATGGAGATGGATAATTTCCAAGTCAAATTTGGGGCTCTTTAAAATCACGAGGAGTCCGATCTCGCGTTCATTAGCCCCTGACTGGGACAGATAACGGGTATAATTTATGATCCCTTATTACGAAACTCCGCCAACAACCCCTCCGAATCTTTCTTCCGGAACGGTTGATAAATATGTTTGGCTTTGGATGGAAAATTATTTGGCCTCGCCGCTTCTCTCGATTGGTGCTTTATTCCACAGGTTAATTCATCCCTGGCCAATCAACTAGACCTATCCCCTCGATATATCCGTTGCGATCTTCCTCCCGATCCTCCACGAATATTTTTCGCGTCGAGAAGAAAATTTTGATGAATTTTAAAACACAGAGATAGGACACACGTATAAATCGTCATGATAACCACACTCTTATCATCTTTCGCCTCTCTAAGGAGGAAAAGAGGTTCACGGCGCGAGTACAATGCACTATAATAATATATATATAAAAGATCTGCCTTGTCTTTTGGTTAATTTTTATGCTTCTCTATCCGAGAGGAAGGAGCGAGGTGAATTTAGAGGAAAAGGGAGCGAAACAATGACGTTGATAGAGGAACAGAGGGAAGAAAATCTCTGGTAATCCCCGAGGGTATAATCGGGTGCCGTGGCTTCCGCGTTTTTCCTCCCTTAATTAACGGCTCGTCGCAAACGCGCAAGATTACTTTTAATTAGCTTCGGCCAAGTAGGAAAAGTAGGGGTGCACGAACACGAGCTATCGAGCACGCAAGAATCGTCAACCTTTGTTATCGTTATCCGATCCACGTTTGTCGATTCGGTTAAATATATTCGTCTCTTTTGGTTTGGATCCATGGAAATGGGTTTCTTTTTCCTCGTTTAATTTTATAGAATTTATACTATTATATTTATAGAAGAATAGAAATATTTATATGATGTTCGTATTTCGGGATCCGGGATTAATTTTCCTCTTCGTTTTTGTTTTTCGGTTAGCGAATAGTTTGTTCGTAAATATTTAACCACGTTTCAAATCATCGAAATTTGAAAATAAATTTGGAACGTATTAATTATGAAATATTTAATAAATTAATTCGTAATGATTTCGTAATAGAATACCGAACTAGTAAATTCGAATAATTAACATGCAATATATATATTTTAAATTATATACTTAACGATGCAGAAACGTATAAATAAAATAAAGTTAAAAATTCGATTAGTCTATCGTCAACTAAAAAAAAAAATTATTTTATATGCATAAACAAACTTTTATTTCTTCTGCGCCTTTTTAAATTTCCATTCGTTGTCTCTCTTACTCTACGCACAAACGTGTTCGATAACGATCGATTTCAGGGTTTCTTTCGCGCGAAGCTTTTGAAATATTTCTTATCAATAATGCGTCCTGCTATACATACGCTCAACTTGAAGAAAGAAATCGTGAGGGAATCAAATATAAAGTTCAAAGCGAAACGACCAACTTCCTTTATCGTAAATTCTAATATCGCGCTTCTAATGGGATTTCGATGGGAAAAATTGAATGTTATTTCTTATTATTTATCGAAGATAGTTAAGTATCGATTCGAAGGGACCGTTTCGTATGATAATACGGATATAACGGATATACAGAATCGTGAAATGTAGTCGAATAAAATGTTACGCGCGTGTTCGATTCATTTCAGCGAAAACAACGCGTGCATTTGATGCATCTATCACGCTCGTGAATGCAACAAAATTGTCGACAAAAGGTATCGTCCGAATGCGCGTATTTCGTGTAACCAACCGCACTGGGCCAATCCCGGAAAACCGTGATTGAATCGGCAGAAATCTCATGGACTTGACTCTCTTTTCCATTTTTTATTTTTTTTTTTTTTCACTTTTTAATAAACCGAAAAAATATGAATGTATCGCAATCAAGAAAGAAGAGATAAAATTCAAAAAAAAAAAAAAAAAGAAGAAGAAAAAAGTTTCGTAAAAAGGACGAGAAAGGAAGAGAAAGAAGCGAATTGATGACCTGGCTTTGATTAAGTTTGGAATTATCTAGAAATTCTGGAAATATTCGATATCGAAGCAAGGTAAATTGTTATAGAATTGTTAAATTTTATTTAACTGAAATTTTATTTGTAGTTTTATCATCGAATGTTGCCAGCAGCATCACTATTTCATAGTTCGTATTTGTTTATCTTCGATACACACATATCAAATATTTTGTAAACAGACACGCGTAATTACGTATAATTAAATATATTCGTTCAGCTAAATCCGTACATTTTATTTATTGTTTTCATTGTCCAGTCAACAGAGATATATCAAAACGCGTTTATAAATGAAAAATTCTCTCTGTAATGCCGTAAAGACTCGTTTCGAAAATACAAGTTTTGAAAATGAATATAACGTTATATATCGTTTTCGTTCAAAAATGAATCTGCAAGCTTTTGCCTTTCGCGATTTTTTCTTTCTTTTTCTTTCTATTTATATTATTATCCAGAACTAGATGGATGATGGAAACCGTTTTCGTTCACCGAGATTAATTGCCAAGAACGGATTAAACACGGATTTAAGAAGACAGGACAGTGTACAAAAGTCAAAATCTGAACGTGGAGAAAGTTAAACACGGACACGAAATTGGGCTACACCGAAAGTAGATGAAACGCGGCTAAAAGTATCCTGTTCTCTAATTGTCTTTTAGGTAAAGGTTTTTCGCTCCGTAGAACACTCCGCCCCTTTTATTTTCCTGGCAAAGAGTCAAGAATAAAACGGCTTTGGATCACGCCTGTTTACAGCTACGAATTTCCCTCCCTTCTTTTTATCTTTTCGCGATCTAAATATTCACACAGGTCCACGGTATTATCGTGGTCGCGAATCCTTCTTCGGCATTACCTAACAGCCATAATACGAGGATCGTAAAGAGAGAGATATATATTCTTCGCGATCGTAAATTTTATATCGATCCCCATTTGATCTGACATTTTAATACTTGATTAACCATAGGATGCTAGCGAAATTTGTTAACTCCCCTCTTATTTATTTACATAATCTCTTAAATCCTCCCCATTCGTTTAAAGAAACAGTTTTTTGTTTTTTTTTTTTTGGCATATTTAATTTTAAGCAACAACAATTTTCTCTCTAGATTTTTCATTTAAGATTTTTTATTATTGTAAAATAGTTCCTTAATCGTTACCTACGACGATCCTGCAATTTAGAAATCTATTTTAATTTTCCTGGTGCACGCGATTTACTCGCGGGAGCGCAGATTCCATCGTATTTATTTTTAACATCGAGCTTCTCCCGTGTATTTTCCGAGCGATCGTAGTAGCAAACTGCATTAACAGAGTTGATCGATAGAACGAGTCGTCGTTGAAGCTGAAGTAGATGCTGCTCCCCAACCGAGCGGGAACTCGATCACGAACTGTCACCGATCTTCGAAACAATTAATCTCAGTCCGCTTACCTTCGGCTTGATGGGGCGTATAGATGTTGAGATAGAGACAGTCCTCGCTCTGGTTCTTCAGGTACGGCAGCAGCCTCTCGAGATACTCGTATCTGACCGGCTTCATCTCGTCCTGCAATTTTGGCACCACTTGGGGGCAGACGGGTGCAAATTCCTGCGATTCTCTTGTGCCGCGCCACGGCTCCGGCGATCTCGGTGGCGAAAATCTCAAGAAATTGACCGGAGGTTCCGCGTACGGTACTCCTGAAAACACGAGCAGCCCGTTTCGTTTGAGGGTGTATCGAATTTTTTCGAAGGGGGTTATCGACAACTTTTTTCCCCCCTTCCTGGGAAAACTTTTTTAAAAAGTTGGACTTGGAAGTTGGAGAAAAAGTTTAAGTAAAAAATTTAGGTAAAAAAGTTCAGAGACTAAAATGAAAATATTCAAATTTCGAAGAAGATTTTAAAAATTAGGAATTTTCTTAAAGAAGAATCGCTAGTCTGATTTAATTTAGTTATTATAGAAAATAAATAATTGTAGTTAAATCGTTATTTTCTCTTAATTTAGTTGAACAATTTCTGGATAATTTCGTTCGTTTGAAAAATTGCCTCGATAAGAGGCTAACTCCAAAATTTCATCGCGAGTAAGTCGATTAAATAGATTATATTTGTTCGTTCGACGCGTTAACGCACAGTCTTGTTTGGCAGAGTCCAAGGATCACGGTTCATCCACTTTATCCCGATTCCGTGTAAATTGGATTCTCAGATCGCTTCCTCCTCTCGTGAAATATTAGTATCGCCCCGTTGAGCAAATATAGATTGAAAAATTTGATTGCAAACATCTCGGGATTCGAAACGTGCAATTACAGCGACCGGAGATCATCCGTTTTTAACCTGAAAACCGCGGCAGGATCGGTTTCGAACCAACCAACTGTAAGCGGTTGAAATTCGTATTTTTGTACGCGGTGAACCCTTTTCGATTCTCAGAGGAGTAAAGGCATATTTCTTCATTAACTTCGATCCATCCCTTTAATTAATGTAATCGCGCTTTAATCACGCTTCCATCAGCAGCAAATTAAGATTATTCTTGTAATTCCAAAATAATTTGATACGATGCAATTTTGTTTCCGTAACGTGCACGTTAGAAAGACGAGCACAATGAGGATATTAAAATTTAATGCGTTGCCATGCTAGTCATTATGCTATATATAAAGTATATAGCTCGACGTTTTAAAAAGATCTCAGAAAAAAAAAAATAGAAGAAGAAAAGGCATCTCGTCATCCGCAATATTTAAAGACACACGCGCTTCTTGTCGAACTTCTCGCGCGACTCTGTTCGAGTCGAACATTTGGGAAAAAAAAAAGAAGAAGAAGAAAAGACATCTCGTCATCCGCAATATTTAAAGACACACGCGCTTCTTCGTCGAACTTCTCGCGCGACTCTCTAGAGAATCGAGCATTTGTGAAAAAAAAAAAAAAAACAAAAGAAAAGAAAAAAAGAACAGTAGCCCAACTTTAGAATCGGTTCGTATCCGAATTTAAAAGCTCGACAAACCTTAACCTATCCTTAATTTATCCTAGCCTTTCCTTCGCCGCCATTCCTCGCTTAAACAGAAGCGTATCCACACGCGCGGAAACGCTCGAGAAACGGAGCGGTGGATGGCAAGGAATGCGAGAGGATCTCGAGGAACTCGAGAAACTAGCAACTCCGCTTGATTCCGCTTCGCCAGCGAATGCGCACAGGAACACGCGACCGAGAGAAACGGAGGGGAGGGGAGGGGAGGCGTCTGTTCCCGAAATAACCTGCACGCTTCTCCTTTTGGAACCTTTGACGTATCGGGATCCTCGAAGCGCGGATATATCGTGGCTAATATCGCCAAGAGAGAGAGAGAGAGAGAGAGAGAGAGAGAGAGAGAGAGAGAGAGAGAGAGAGAAGCGGAGAAGAAGAAGAAGAGGCTGATGCAGCTGCGAGGAAAGTTTCACCCTCTCCTGGGCAAAGTTCGCCGTATCGGCATCCGGAAACTGAAATCGCGCCGGTCCCAGTGTTATCGTTACCAGTCTGGTGGCGGGTTTCGATCCGTCACACGATTGGTCCTGGAAACTTTGAAGCTTTCTACATTCTACGTTAAGCGATGATTGCGAGGGAAGTTCCAATAGCCCTGATTGACTCGAGAATTCTTCTGCTCTCTCATTTTTCTTTCTCTCTGCTTCCAAAAATTTTTCGAACGTGCGAAGGATATCGATTAGAGACTTGTTAGATTCTTTTTTCTCTTCTCTTTTTCTTTTTTTCAAAATTAAGCTCCAAATTGAGAAAGTTAATTGAAAGTAATTTGGGATTAAAGATATTTATATGCGTAATTATAATTTTTTCGTTCATATTCGTCTTTTCTATAAATCAGATTTATGAATGAATCGAATCCACGTTGATTACGATGAACGATACAACGAGAATTATTGTATTATTTTGAATTACGCGATAATGGATGTTGCATAGCTATTGTATATAACAATTTTTCCTATTTGGATGATGATTTCCTAATGGAGATGCTTCTATTTCGAAATATACAAATCGTTGACCGTAAATCGTGAACACACTTCAATCTGTGTCTTTGTACGAAATTAATTTATCGTTGTATCGTTCCATCGAACGGATGCGGGAAAATTATTATTTTCGACCGCGAATCTCACCCAGGAAAACATCGACGGGCTGTAGATCGTGATTGGTCCTCGGCTGCACGACGATTCCTCGTAAACGACCCTGTTTCACTCGCACCTCTCTGGTGAACCGTTCGGGGGGATCGAGAAACTTGGACCGATAACCGTACAGCGATCTTGTTTCGTAAATATTGCGATGCTCCGTGAGTATCTGGGTGCAGGCCAGCAACACGAGTCCCACCAGCTCGAGCCGCAGCATCCTCGACATTTGTTCGATCGTTGGACAACCGGAAAGGGGAGCAATGAATTTTCACTGGCCCATCTTCTTCAGGCTCCGGACCGCCTTTGGACCGAGTCACGCACGGCTCGTCGAAACCGATTCCCGGGGTAAAAATAATTTTTCAACGCTCGTGCTTCTTCCGCTCGGCTCACCGGATGCGATGAGGGCAAGTTCCTTCGAGAACTCAGACTTCGATGCACGCTCTTTGCCTCTTCGATCCTTCCTCTTCGATCCTTTTGTTCCTCGATATTAATTGGATAGAAAGATGGATTTACAAGCGCGCCAAAATCCGTGACAAGTACGTTTTGGCACCGCGTATGTATGCTTTGCACACATTTCGATCGTTGAAACTCACGTTCATCGATCAATCACGTTGTACTTTATTCTTATTTACATTAATATTCGCCCGATGTGTTTTATAAGCAATCGACGATTAAACGAATATTTTCCCCCGAGTTAAGGATTTCTTTTATTGAACTTCGACACTTGGCGCGAAATTTCACGAAAATTTGTAGCGCGAGAGTGTATGTGGAATAATATCACCGAAATAAAACCACCAGTTCGAGATGACTTTCCCTTTGAGTCGCGGTCCCCTTTAAGTATATTTGACAGGAATGGAAACACAGCGGCAGTTTGGTCGGCTACATCTCACTGCTTGACGCCGATTACAGAGCAAGAAAAGGCTCGCTCCATGCTGCGCTGTCCTCCAACGAGATATTCTTAGGTCGAACGAGGGTGAACGCACGTACAAGGCGAGAGGGAAGGAGACAGCCGAAAAGCGCTCTATTTTCGCCCCAAATAGGACGATTCCGGTGTTGGTAAACTTCGCGCGCGTTCACACCGGAACTCGCGATTCCCTCCACTTTCTTCCAACCAACGATTCTCTTCCTATGGATAAGAAGATCCAAGGCGACGCGCGCGATCTCGATATTTTTCGCGCGGCAGAGATGCTGCAGCGCTCTAATTTGTGCGCCATTTTGTCGAAACGATGACGAAACGAGGTTTACACGAGTTTGGGTTCGATTAATAACGGTTTGCCTTTAGTTGAATCAAAAGAATTCATTTCACGCCTAACATTCTCTCCGCGGAGATATTAAACGGATAACGCGCGATTTTGCGAAAAACATTTGCTCGAATGAATCGATGAATGAATTTCTTTGCTAATTTGAAAATATATTTATCGATTATGACGATGGAGCGACGCGAGATGAGATAATAGAGTTTCGACAAAGCACAGTTCTCATTTTTTCTATACGGAAAAATGATTTAACACGATGAAAAGAAATTTGATAAAACGATATCGAAATCGTTACTAATTGACTGGCCTCCCCTATATATATATAAATGTATCAGTTTCGAGGAAAAACAGTACTCGGTATCAGCTACCAATTAATGAAACAAATTAATCACAGGAAGGTGAGAAAGAGCATTAACGGAGGGGAGGGGGGGGAGTTCGGATGTTGGAAAGGTTTCAATTTATCCCATTCATCGGGCTTACAAAGCCGGCGTCGAAACAGCGCGAATGATTTCCACGGCGCGAAAAATCATTTGGCGAAAATTTACGAGGGAGGAAAAAAAAAAAAAACGCGGCACGTGCACGCGGCAAACCGGATTACGCGGCGTGAAATAAAACCGAGGGCAGCTTTAACGCTCGCTTAAAAGCGGTCGGTAGCGTTAAGTTATGAATACCCGTAATTTGCATCGCGGCTGATTGTCGACTGAATAACGCGCAACCCCCTTCCCCCCATTTTTTTCAAACCCTTTTTCCTTTGCCGCTTTTCTTTTTTCTCTCTTCTTTTTTATTTTTTTTCTTTTAATCATTATTATTTGATCCAACGATTTCGATGCTACGTGACACGTTTTCCCAAAGACGCATCGTAAAACGGAATTGTACACCAATAAAGTCGAAGTGAACGCGAAGACAATTCGTTTAACTTTTAAAATCGACCGATTCGATATTACAGTCGAAATTAAGTCGAAGAGATACAGCTCGACGATGATGTTTACGACAATGGTTCAAATTAGCTCGATTATTCGGGATCGAATTTGCGAATAAGTGAAAATTTCGCGTTTGATAAGATCGTATAATATCGGTTTGGCGACATTTTCGTGTATTATAATTGGTAAACGGGTACGAGATATACCTTTCGATTTCGAAGGTTTCGGAGGTTAAAAGTGGTTTACGACGAGGATATACCATGAATTTCGTGTTTAACGTTTGCAGAGTGATTAGAGGTACTTAGGGGAAAAGCAAACGTTGCTTTCGTCGAGGATGTTGAACTTTTGGCTGCCCTTGCGTGCCTCGAGCAACGAGGATATTCTTGGACCACGCTTGTACTCGGCCACGGCTTTTCGGCGTATCTTCACCAATAAAACGCAGATAGAAATTACGCCCATCTACACGAATTAAAAGCGCGTAATAATCTTTCGCGCAAACTGAAGTTTTTTTAAGGATAGAAATTTTTAACGAAGAGAAACTTTAATGGTACAACGCGTTCACCCAACTTTGGACCATAAGAACACGAAGTGTGTACGAATTTATATATAATCACGTTCGTCACTTTTATTTTTTTTTACCTAGGTTTTTCAAAGAACAACAACGCGTAACAAACACTCGAGAATAATAACGACAAACACTTGAGAAAAAGTAAAGAAAATATTTGGATTACGTTGCGTATCGTATCGTCCTACCCGGAAACATCAAGCATCAAGACGCAGTAAAAAAATCTCGCGTAAAATCACGCGTGAAGCTAGCTCGCTTCATCTCGATGGAACTCGAGAGTGGACTGAGTCCGTAAGTGCTAAAATTAAATCGAGAACGCGTTGAGAAGGAAGCGCCGCCGGGCGGCTGCCTTACAAGCTCAAACTTTTATTTTCGACCGAATCGTTTCGCGATCGTTTGCAAAACTTTCCTCCTCGAAATTCTATTCGGAAGAAAAGTTTCTCGTTCGAAAGAGAGTTCGTTCACCAACGAAAGCTTCCCATGCTTTCCATACATCGTCTTTATCCGCGCTTTATCTCGAAGATGGGCCAACGTTTGATCAGCGAGTAATTTTATTTAACTCGACAGAGGCAACGAACGAGGAATTTCTATCTTTTGAATCGAAAATAGCAAACGCGAAATTAAATCGTTCGTTTCGCGTTGGAATCCAAATTGAACGAAGGAATCATGTTTGTTACTCACCGTTCAAGATTATACGTACATATATATCGCCACTTTCAAACACTTGGACGTCGATAACTCGATAAATATTGTTCGAAGCGTGACGATCCCGCGCGCAAGCAGATTAGAAAACTCCACCGTTGAATTACTTTCTACGTACACTACGAGCCGAGTCACTGTTCCTCGCATGTAACGGCGTGTTAAAGCAACGATAAGAAGGCTTTGAGAGGGGTTCTCGAGGCATGAGGCGGTCCCCGATGAGTGGCTCCTCTTCAGGAACACCTCATTCACGTTAATGAACTTACTTGGTGTGCCGGGGGTGAGCAAGACCGACGAAAGTTCGTGACTCCTCCACGAGGACAAAAGTTCGAAGGATGAATTTCACGAAATGCTTTGCATAATTGCTTCCGTGCTTCAAATTTGTCTTTCTTTTTCTCTTCCCTTCTTCTCTCTCTCTCTCTCTCTCTCTCTCTCTCTCTTTTCTTTTTTAATTTACATCATAGGCGACATTCAATCGTTAATTTTTTTTCGCTAATAACAGCTTCGAGGCTAGAAGGTATCCCTCAAGGTATTGCACGTTGTATCCACGATTAAATCGAAGCAATCTCTGCGACTTTCAATATACTTTTCAACTGATTCGTCGACGCGAGAAGATAGGAGAATAGAACGCATTGTTCTCCGAGTTATCGATAGGAAGAAAACGAAGGGAAGGTAAATAAATGTGTAGTGTATAAACAATCCGACAGAAATGCATTTTAATCCCGGAGGAATCGAGCCATCTCGGAATATGACTGGTTCATTGTTCCAACTTATTCATCGCTTTAGTAGATAGGGAAAACCTTTTCTTCTCCTTCCGTTTTACTCTATCCCAGAAAAATTAGCTTCTCGACGCGTATCCCTTCATATTTTCGCAAAATATTACATCAAATCTTTAAACCAATAATAATAAGTAATAAAAATTCATTTCTGGTTATTTCTCTTTCAAAGGAACAGTTAAGATTAAGTAAGGTAGCGTTTAATTCAAAAAGTATCCATCGTCCACTGGTATGCAAGCTCATTTGGCAGCGCGAATAAATATTTCGCACCCTCTTTCAAAGTGAAATTACCATCGCCGGACCCTCGTCGTCAATGCTCCTCCTCTTTGCCCTCCAGCGATGTTTGAGCTTGTTTACCGCCGGCTAAGGGTGAAGCGGTAAAGTACAGGGGAGGATGGAGTTAAATGAGTCTCGTTTGCACCGTCGAAGCTTGCAAGTTCCCTCGTGTCCCGAAGACATGAAACGCGAGTGAAACGTGGTCGCCAAGTTGTCACCTAACTCTTTGAAAAGATATCTTCGTGGAAACGAAAACGTGGAAGATGTGAAACAGGTTGTGAAACAGCATCCCTCATTTCTTTCAACGGCCAATTACTTCTACTATAACTTCATTCCCTGAATTTTTCGAATCGAGGTACGAGATTCAACAGAGGGATTTTAATATCCGCCTTTCCGTTAACGAGGCGGAAAAAGGTGTCCCCGTTTTTTTTTCTCGATGACCAACGTCACCGTAGAGAAACGCGACGCTGATCTAAATTTTGTTTTTAAGCCAAGGTTTTTGTCACAGTCTCGATATAATCTAACCGTGAGACTCTTGCATCCAAGATTACAAGAAATGGATCGACGATTAATCCAGTTTGCTCGCAAAAACGAACGATTTCAACTTTCGTACTCGAAAATGTTAATCTCGAGTTATGAAGGAGAGCGGGGATGGACGAACGATAGGTATCATCCGTAATACCGATCTTGACTCCGGATTCACCACCTTCATCTTCTCTTCCTGTATCCTGAAACTCCAGCAGAAGCTGGAGGGGAGGGAGGAAAAAAAGTTGAGAAGGGAGGGGATCTGAGTTAGAAGTCAGGTTGGTTTGACTCCGAAGTTCGTCGAACGACACGAAATCCGTTCCTCCATCATCCCTCCGACCGCTATCGTATCGATTCTCTTTTTTTTTCTCCGGTTGATATCCAGGGACGAATTAATCACGGGCGAAAAGTCCAACGGAGGGAATCGGTGGTTGGTCTCTCGATATATCGTAGATACGATCCGACAACCGTTGCGAGGGGAGAGACAAGAAAGACGTTTTCGTGGGTGGTTGAACTTTCGTGGGGGGATCGAAGGTAGTCGAAGGAGGTCCGATCTCAGCATCTCTTGGAGGAAATATAGATAAAATAGATATTATAGTGACGTTATAGGTACACGATCCGATTATGGAATATTCAAATTCAACGAATTGCTTCATCTTGATACATGGAATATCAGTTTTTACTAATGTGAAGACAGGGAAGCAAATCTTCTAGCGTCCTCCTAGAGCGCTTTGAGCGTGTTATACTTTATCCACTTTGCGAGATTTCATGCATCGATAATCACTATTTCCATGTTTCTTCTCTAAAGCTTCTCTAAAGCTAAAGGCCATCGCTCCTTTTTGAAATCGGAATCGAAAATGTATCTATTTTTGTCTAGAACCTGATAAAGTGTCAGTCTCATCAAGAAAAATTGAAATTTCGTCTTGTTACTTTTCCTTTTTTTTTTTTTTAAAATATCATTATTTCTCGTTTCAACGTCTGTAATTTGGTCTGAAATCCACGTGAAAAAATTTCTCTGTCAATTTAATATAACGTATGCTTGAGCAACAATACGTAGAACGAGTCCCTTTCCTATCTCTCTCGATGTTCTTAATCCTTAAGCGACTTCTGAGTGACGTCAGCGGGATCGGTGTGCGTGACGGTAGAATTTCATTTAAATTTAATTTAAATCCAGCATATCGTATTCGAGATAGATATCTGTAATATCGAAAGTTACAGGGATCATCCGATGTTTAATATCCACGTTTCGCGAGGAAATGGATTACAAATGTTCGCTGCGACGTAGTTGTCCTCGCTTTCACACACGTGAAATTTATCTCGCGAAACTCGTAATATCTTCTCGAAATATTGATCGATGAATTTTTCTTTTCCTCCCAATAAAGTATAGCGGTAGATTTTCACTGATGAACTTAAAAAAACTTGTTCTTGGAACTTTTCCTGCTATACTTTATGCACTTTGGCAGACATTTTGATGTACGCCCAACTTTTATACGAAGATACAGTGCTCTCCATAACTGGCTAGCACGCTCCTCTCCTCCTGCAATTTTGATCTATGAAACGTTTGCTCCAACCATCTACCAAGGATCTATCCAAGCCCATCAATTACCAACGAGGTATTTTTCAAAGCTGAAAGCCTTTGATACGGTTTCGATTCAACCCCCGAATCGGCTAAAAACCCACAACTGATAGGATTTCAAGGTTCACATGCAATTGGAGGCTCACCAGGCAAGCATCGGGTAATCGTGTTTCATTTAGCCAATCGATGGTGAACCAACAGGACGATAGGATTGCAGTAGTTAAATTTTGAGGCTGATTGAAGCTCATCCAACGAAGAATCGATACATTTGTCGAAGCGATTATCCAGTCTTGAATTATCACGCCTTACCTTGTTTTTCAATCAACGATTAAACGGTATGGAAAATAATCAAATATTGTCGTCGAAATTATATAATATATTTCGCGCAATTATCGAACGATATCACGGTGAAGTATTGCAAAAATTTTCCCTCGGATTATCTTTGTCGACAAAGAAGTGACGTTTCTCCTCGCGACCCACGTTCTCCTCTTCTTTCCGTGGGAAAGAAATAAGTAAGGGTGGGATTTGTCATTTGAGGGATTTCATGGATTAGCCTTAACCCGTCGCAGTTTTCTGCCGCGTTTCAACGTAACAGCTATCGTTTCAGTATGCCGGATATATACATATACACTGTTCAAGGTACACCGGGGCCAGGTTATCCTTATTCTACATTTGTGTCGCCCTGTCGTGAAAAATCCCGAGGGCATTTTACAGGTGTTACATTATTTTCTCTCCGCCGACGAGATGGGTTCTTTCTTTCCGCAACCGACCACTGTTTATTTCTTAAGTTTCGTTTTGCTTTCCTTCTTCTTTTTTACGCTTTTTACACGCTTTCATATTTATTAATGATTAATGATTAAGCTTCGTTAATCTTATTTTTGTTTTGTTCCTTTTGTAGTTTCTCTTTGTTCTCCTTGGAAGGAAGATCGATTAAACATGAACATTCGTCACGAGACAAATATAATAATGATCGAAATTCTGAATATCGTATCGAGTTTCTATCTGACAATGATAAATTGATTCTTGGAAAGATTATAATTATTTGTAGAAATTTATGACAATTTTAATACGATTCGAATGAAAAAGAGAGAGAGGAGAACAGTTCAACAGTTCGACGTTGAAAAGTTTATCGGCATTCGTCAAATATCGCGAATCCAAAAGATGGTTAGGCAATCGATTTGTATCGGGCCAAGCCTTCCACCACGAGTATCATGTATGAACAAGTCCAGATGCGATAACCGGGTAGAAATAGTGAAAGCGGGTATACGTAACAGGTAGTATTGAACGACGAATGAAAGGAAGAAGAAAAGCTTTCATGCACGACGGATTTTTCCGGGATTAGCTGGATCTACTCGTATTATTCGTCGTATAACTATCCAGTAGACTGCT